CGGCGATCACAAGTCAGGAGGATCGAGACATCCTGCTAACATGGTGTAAACCGTTTGTCTTGCTACGTAAAAATACAAAAAATTAGCCAGGCCACGGGTGGTGGGTGCCTGTTAGTCCCGCAGCTGTACTCAAGGAGGCTGGAGGCAGGAGAATTGTGCCGTGAACCTGGAGGTGGAGCGTGCAGGAGCCGAGATCACGCGCACTGCACTCCACCTGGTTGGTGAACAGCGTAGCAAGACTCCGTCTCTAAAAAAAAAAAAAAAAAAATAGAAAGGTGATTACAAAAACTAGGGTTAGGCACAGTGGCTCACCCCTATAATTTTACATTTTTGGGAGACTGGCTGTGAAGATGACTTGGAGTCAGGTCAGGAGTTTAAGACCAGCTTGGTTCAACTAGTGATGAATCAATTCCCGTCTCTTACTGAAAACAGAAAAATTCCACCAGTGTGGTGGCACACTCATGTAGTCCCAACAACTTGGGAAACTGAGGCAGGAGAATCGCTTGAACTCAGGAGGCACTGCAGTGGCGCAATCTTGGCTCGCTGCAACCTCCACCTCCTGCATTCAAGCGATTCTTCTGCCTCAGCCTCCCCAGGAGCTGGGACTACAGGCACCTGCCACCACGCCCGGCTAATTTTTGTATTTTTAGGAGAGACGGGGTTTCACCATGTTGGCCAGCATGGTCTCGATCTCTTGGCCTTGTGATCCACCCGCCTCGGCCTCCCAAAATGCTGGGATTACAGGCTTGAGCCACTCCGCCCGGCCCTCCATTCTCTTTGGTTGGTTTATGTGCCTGTTCTTATGCCAGTACCACACTAACTGTGTCTTACACATTACATTTAATCCTCACAATACCTTTTTGAAGTAGAGATTCTTATTCTATAATTGAGGAAACAATCTCAGAAAAAATTACGTGAAGGAAACACAGCTAGTAACTGGAAGGCTACAGTTTAAATGTATCCAATTCTAAAAATTGGAAATAAAATCAGTTTTGTTTTGTTGAAACGGAGTCTCCCTCTGTTGCCCAGGCTGCAGTGCAGTGGCGTCATCTTGGCTCACTGCAACCTCCACCTCCAGAGTTCAAGCAACTCTCTTGCCTAGGCCTCCTGAGTAGCTGGGATTACAGGTGCCCACTGCCACTCCCAGCTAATTTTTGCATTTTTTTAGGAGAGATAGATTTTCACCATGTTGGGCAGACTGGTCTCAAACTCCTGACCTCAAGTGATCCAACTGCCTCGACCTCCCAAAGTGTTGGGATTACAGGCGTAAGCCACCACACCTGGCCTAAAATCAGTTTCTAGAAACACATTTCTCCATAGGGAATTGAACTCAGACTGTTAGAAGCACTAAAACAAAATAAATTTACAACAACCCTGCAACGTTGAAACTCATTAACCCATTCAACAAACTTTTTTGAGTGAATATTTTGTGAGACATTGGTGTTAGAAGCTGTAAGTGGAGAAACTGATTTGTGAATAAGTTGAGCAGCAAATTGAAGCTCCCCCAACTGGTTCCTTCAGAGCCAGGCTTTATCCTTTTAGGTCATGCTGCCCCATCAGGGACGGTGGGACTTGGTATGTACATTGTATCTTTAGATACAAAAATCTCCTACTATCTGGGGAATTTGAATAACCTCCCTGAAGAACAACTGCATCTTCTAGTGAGCCTACCACCAAGAAGACATTTTGGAATTTTAGTTTGGATAGTTTATAATATAAAAATAATGGAATTTTTTCCATTTCTCACATAAGAAATTGTGTCATAATACTGGACATCCTTTTTCCAAACTATCTTTGCCCACACACATGTTGTTATGATATAAAGGGTCAGCAGGGGCCAGGCGTGCTGGTTCAAGCCTGAAATCCCAGCACTTTGGGAGGCCGAGGTGGGCGGATCACGAGGTCAAAAAATCGAGACCATCCTGGCCAACATGGTGAAACCTCATCTCTACTAAAAATACAAAAGCTAGCTGGGCGTGGTGGTGCGCGCCTGTAGTCCCATCTACTTGGGAGGCGGAAGTTTTAGTGAGCCGGGATAGCGCCAGTGCACTCCAGCCTGACGACAGAGTGAGGCTCCGTCTCAAGAAATAAAAAAAAAGAAAAAGAAAAAGAAAGGGTCAGTAGGTTAGAGCCTCATTTTGGAGAAAAGGAAATACATAGACCTATTGATAGAATGGAGAAAGCAATACTGGTAGGTCTCACTTGTCATTTATTGAGCCCAAAGTGCTGGGATTACAGGCGTGAGCCACGGCGCCCGGCCTGACACCACTGTTAAATTAGGGAGAAAGGTTAAGGATGGGTGGCTAATTCTAGTGATCACGACTGTGAAAGGGTTTACTTTCTACCAGAAAGACTGTGTGTGAACACAAACGCAGAAGCCTCGCTCTTCATTCTATCCGAAGTTTACCTTTGCGCACTTATTCTCCATATGAAGAAAACTGCAAGTAGCCCAATTTCCGCTTCAGGAAGTTAAAAACATTAACTTGGCAGAAATCTAGTTAATAGGTTTAGCCCGGGAAATAGAAAGCAAGAAACTTGCTCAGGGAAACTTTTCGGTTCTACGACGCATGCGTTCAGCCTCCAAGAAAGTGGCAAATACGGCTGCGCGAATTGCCGGCCCAGCCCTCCTTGGTCACGTGTTGGGAGACAGCGGCGTGGCGGCGGCCGTGGCGGTAGCGACGGCAGGCCGTAGGGCGGTCAGAAGGTTTCCGGTTCCGGTGTAACGTTCGGGCTCCGTCTCAGGGGCTGAAGTTTGTGAGGTGAGTAGTGGCCCCGGGCCCAGAGAGGGTAACTCCAGTCCGCGCGACTGTGGCCGGGGGCTTAGTCCAAGGGGAGGATCGAAGCGGGAGGGTTCAGCGGGAAGGAGTGTGAAAGGAGTACCTGGTTTGGTGGAAGAAGAGATTGGAATGAGATTGTTGAGAGGAAAAGGGCGGGGGCGGGAAGCAGACCGGGTGGGGAGACCAGCTCTGAGGTGAGGAGTTTGGGTAGAACAAGGTAGAGTAAGAGACTGGTTGGAGTGACGGAGAGTAAAAATAGAAGATTTGGGGCTGCAGAGGGAAACTCAGGTTCTAGCAAACAAGAGCACGGAGTAAGGAATTCCTTCAGAAGACTGGATTTGGATTCTGCTGCCTGCTCATTGAGAGATCATTGTACCTCGCTCTCCTTCCGCACCCCCATTACCCCTGCACCTCACAGTTATTGTTGAGCATTTGATTAGTGACAAAGCTAATTACCGTTTGAAACTTTTCTGTCCATGGCTGTTTAGTTTGCACATCATCTTATGGAGGTAACAGTGGCACCTCAAATATTGCTTTGGGCTTTCAAATTGCTTATACTTTGTAGCCTATCATTCAATTCTAGTGGAATATGAGACCCGTTAAGGTGAGGACTCTTGTTAGTTTTGCTCAGTTTTGTGTATCCACTGCACTTAGTACATTGCTTGACACTTGGTAGTTAATAAATATTTATTGAATGAATTAAGATGTAAATATGGCAGTCCTCATTTTGTAAGATGAGTAAACTGTGGCTCCAAATAATTAATTTAACTTGCCTAAGGGCCTGTAAATGGTGGAACTCAGTGTCCTGACTGTTCTGTGTGAACTCTTGTTTTCACTTTCTAAGTCGTCTGGATATGCTGCTTTTGTGCAATACGTGTGTAATATGTAGAAATTGGTAGGCTGTATGTCTACTCATTATGGGGTAATAGAGTCACCATAGAATTACTCACGTAACTTGTCACTGAGGCAGAAAATCTTTCAGTCTTAGTTTCATCACTTCAGTCTGCTAGCTTCCTTTGAATATACCAAAAGTGAGTCTACTATTTGGCAGCAGTCTCTTTTTTTTTTTTTTTTTTTTTTTGAGCCAGTGTCTCACTGTCACCCAGGCTGGAGTGCAGTGGTGTGATCTTGGCTCATTGCAAGCTCCACCCCTCCAGGTTTAAGCAATTCTCTGCCTCAGCCTCTGGAGTTAGCTGGAACTACAGGCGCCTACCACCACGCCTGGCTAATTTTTTGTATTTTTAGTAGAGACACGGTTTCACCGTGTTAGCCAGGATGGTCTCAATCTCCTGACCTTGTGATCCGCCCACCTCGGCCTCCTGAAGTGCTGGGATTACAGGCGTGAGCCACCATGCCTGGCCAGCAGCAAGTCTTGTAGACTCTAGTATAGAAGCTAAACCTACCAAGAATGTAGAAGTTAATCAGACTGGATTTTTTTGGAGAAAAGATGTCTTAAAACATCTTGAAAAACTGATTCCCAGATCTCTGATAAGTGGCACTGCTGGGAATAGCTGAACTTAGAAATTGAGGTCAGTGCAATTTATTGTCTCTCATTTAGGCACTTTTTTTTTCCCCCAAGGCGGAGTCTTGCTCTGTCACCCAGGCTGGAGTGCAGTGGCGCGATCTCGGCTCACTGCAACCTCCACCTTCCAGGTTCAAGGGATGCTCCTGTCTCAGCCTCCGGAGTAGCTGGGATTACAGGTGCAGGTCACCACGCCCAGCTAATATTTGTGTTTTTAATAGAGATGGGGTTTCACATGTCTACTCATTATGGGGTAATAGAGTCACCATAGAATTACTCACGTAACTTGTCACTGAGGCAGAAAATCTTTCAGTCTTAGTTTCATCACTT